TCTTTCTACTTGAGCCTTTGGTATCAGCTCCTCACTTTATTTTCCTCCCTCCCGCATGAACCCTTGATAATCTTAAATTATGTTTTCATGTCTTACACTGACCGATGTCTAAGACAGTTTCTATAAAATTCAGGAACTCCCCCGGGGAGCAGAGCATGACCTTCCTGGGGTCCCTGTCTCCAGCCCAAAAGGCTCACGTTCTGGAGACACGAGTAACCAGGCCAAAAGCGTTGACTTGGCTAACAGATGTGCAAGGCCTGTCCCCCAAGAGGCCGGGCTGGACACCAGGAGACCTGGGCTAGTGTGCCAGCAAGGGCCTGCCTTGCTTTCCCCACCTGTTCAGTGAGACTTCCCCTAGGGCCCGCCAAGGCTCAATGGTGCTGTCGCAGCTGGTCTGCACGTAAAGGCAGTTGCCGCTGAGTGGGCTGCGCCCTGCGGTGACCCTGTGCATCCCTGCGGTGACCCTGTGCATCCCTGCGGTGACCCTCTGCATCCCTGCGGTGACCCCATGCATCCCTGCGGTGACCCCATGCATCCCTGCGGTGACCCTCTGCATCGAGTAGAACTGCGGGGCTGATTTTTCAGTGGCAGGTTGCCAGGCCTTTCTTCAGAGGTGCCAAACTTTCCGCGGTTTGGAGGGGAGCACAGGACTGCTGGGGGTCCCCTGGGACTCTCGTCTAGCCCACAGTTACGGTTGTTGCCTGCTGCCAAGCCAGCCCCAACTCATGAGGACCCTGTGCCCAACGGGGATGGACTCAAGCAATGGCAATCCACAGGGGATTCTGGTATTTTCCAGGTGTGGACTCCCACCAGGTCTTTGTCTGCACACGTCATCACTTGTCACACAAGCCTCCAGGGACAGGCGGCTGGTGGCTGTGTGTGCAGTGCATCCTAACCAAACACTGCCCTTGAGCTGACTCCTAGCCACCCGCGAGTTAGAACGGCCCCTGGGGGGCTTCTTAGAAGCTTCATCCTCCTGAGGAGCAGCTGGTGGGTTTGAACTTTGGGCCTGTGGTTAGCAGCCCGATGCCTACCCACTTTGCCACTAAGTCTCCTGTGTGGACAGTGGGGAGTCTACTGTTTGAACTACCAATGTCCCCCACTAGCACATTCATAATAAAACAACCCAATGCCACAGAGTTCAACTTGTGACAACTCAAATAGGCTTTTGGACGCTTTGCCAATCTTTACCGGAGCAGACAGCCTCACCTTTCTCCTTCAGGACACCTGAGGGATTTGAACCACGAACCTTTTGGTTCACAGCCCAACATTCAGCCAACAGCACTGCCAGGGCTCCTTCCCTAACACATTAAAATCATACTAATCTTAACAATTCCTCCCCATCATCGAGTTCATTGCAACAGATTGACCCCTGTGGGTGTCTGAGGCTGTGAATCTTTATGGGGGTGGAAAGCCTCCTCTTTCTTTCACAGGGCAGCAGCCTAGCTCGGGGCCTACTACACCAGAAGGGTAGGGGGAAGGTGGGGAGAGGGGTGGAGGAAGGGGGTTACCCATTGCAACGATCGACACATAACCCCCCACACATACCCTCCAGGGGGGAGAGCAACAGGGGAAAGGGAGATAGCGG